GAGCGAAGCAGAATATCTTTACTAGAAAGCCACACTTTTTGACCGACGACGTAGACGGGAGGCTTCGACCGGTGGCGATCAGCCTTAGCCTTAGTGCGCGCACCCACCCGGAGAAGCATCTGACAAGCAGTTCTCCAGGTGCGGCGGCACTTCTGGACGAAAGCGTGGGCAGAGGGGACCATGACTTCGGATTCCAGACTAGGAAAAACAGGTGGCTGGTAACCTAAGCTACACTCAAATGGAGAGAGGCCCGTAGATGACACTGGCAACGAATTGTGTGCGTACTCCACCCAAGAGAGCTGTTGGCTCCAAGAGGACGGGTTCTGTGAAACCAAACATTGTAACACCCGCTCAAGATCCTGGTTGGCTCGCTCGGTCTGCCCGTTGCTCTGAGGATGGAAACCAGAAGAAATACTAACACTCGCCCCCAGTAGCTGACAAAATTCTCTCCAAAATCTGGAAACAAACTGGGGACCCCTGTCAGAAACCACATCCGTCGGGAGGCCATGAATGCGAAAAACGTGGTCAATGACAGTAACCGCCATCTCCCTGGCAGAAGGTAATTTGGGCAGGGGAATAAAATGGACCGCCTTCGAGAACCGGTCCACCACGGTCAAAACCACCGTGTTACCCTGGGACGGAGGTAGGCCGGAAACGAAATCGAGAGCTATGTGGGACCAGGGTCTCGAAGGGACAGACAGCGGTTGAAGGAGACCCTCCGGGGGACAATTGGAAGCCTTACAACTAGCACAGACTGAACAGGCCAAAACAAAATCCCGGATGTCACGAGCCATCAATGGCCACCAGAACCGTTGTTTGACCAAAAAGGCGGTACGATTAATCCCCGGATGACAAGCGACCTTAGAACAGTGGCTCCAGCGGATGACGTCTGACCTTAAACCCTCTGGCACAAATAACCGACTCAGTGGGCAACCGGACGGGGGAGTTAACCCTTGTAAGGCCGTGTGGACCTTAGACTCAATCTCCCAAGTGACAGTGGAGACAACAAGTCTCTCAGGTAAAATAAGCTCGGGAGTGGTCTGCCGAATGATCAAAAACGTGGGAAAGGCATCGGGCTTGATGTTTTTAAAGCCCGGACGGTACGAGATGGAAAAGATGAAAAGATGAGATAAAAAAAAAAGAGCCCACCGAGCCTGCCTGGAGTTGAGACATTTGACCGACCTTATGTATTCAAGGTTCTTATGATCCGTCCAGACAATAAAAGCACCCCCGAGCCTTCCAACCAATGACGCCACTCTTCCAAGGCTAACTTAATCGCCAACAACTCTTTATTACCAATGTCATAATTCTGTTCGGCGAGGGACAAACGATGAGGAAAAAAAGGCACACGGATGCATTTTGCCGTCCGCGGAGGAGTGCTGGGAAAGAACCATGCTGACCCCCACCTCCGAAGGGTCGACCTCCACCACAAACTGACGTGAAGGGTCGGGGGCAATGAGAATAGGGGCCGAAACAAAGCGGCTCTTGAGGTTAGAAAATGCAGCGTGGGCTGCACTAGACCACCTGAACGCAGTCTTGGTGGAGGTCAAGGCGGTCAGAGGGGCGGCTAGTTGGCTGAAGTTGAGAATAAAATGCCGGTAAAAATTGGCGAACCCCAGAAACCTCTGCAGGGCCTTGCGGGACTCAGAGGTCGGCCACTCCACCACAGCCTTGATCTTTTCGGGATCCATGCGCACCCCCTCGGACAAAACGATGAACCCCAAAAACGGGACTGACTATGCATGAAAAACGCATTTCTCTGCCTTGACAAAAAGCCCATTCTTGAGCAGCTGAAGGAGCACTCGCCTGACGTGCTGAACATGTTCCTGGAGAGAGGAGGAAAAAATCAATATGTCATCCAGGTAGACATATATAAACTGATCAACCATGTCTCTCAGCACATCATTCACGAGTGCCTGGAAAACCGCCGGAGCGTTAGACAGGCCGAACGGCATAACCAGGTATTCAAAATGCCCCCTGGGGGTATTAAAGGTGGTTTTCCACTCATCCCCCTCCCTTATGCAAACCAGATTATAGGTGTTGCGCAGGTCCAGTTTGGTGAAAAAAGATGCCCCCTGCAGCCGCTTGAAAGCTGAAGACATCAGCGGCAAGGGATAAGTGTTCCTTACCGTAATGCTGTTCAGCCCCCGGTAATCAATACACGGCCGCAGAGATCCATCCTTTTTCTCCACAAAAAAGAACCCGGCACCTGCGGGGAAAGAGGAATGACGGATGAGCCCGGCTGCCAAAGAATCAGAAATATATTTCTCCATGGCCTCCCTCTCTGGGGCAGAAAGCGAGTAAAGTTTGCCTTTTGGCGAAGACTTACCTGGCGATAATTCTATGGCACAGTCATAGGGACGGTGCGGAGGGAGAGAAGCAGCCTGAGACTTACTGAACACTCCCTTCAGGTCCATGTACTCCTTAGGCACGTTAGACAGGTCCACCGACTCCTTCTGGAAAACAGAACTAGACACAGACGACACAGTGCTTCCCCACTGCAGCCGAACGGGGAGGAGAGTGGTGGAAGAGGTTTTACCCGCAGACATCCCACCCGACAGTAACCTCCGACCTACTGCCAGGCATTGGCTTTTAGCGGGCAGACCGAGGCAATATGTCCTGCCCCTCCACAGTATAGGCACAAACCTCTCGTTCGACTGCGATCCTTCTCCTCCCGGGATAGCTGAGCTCTACCCACCCGCATGGGCTCGGGATCGTGTGCTGGGCTGACCGCATCACTGGAGAAAGGGGCAAGGAGATCCGTGGCTATCGGAACTGCGCGTCGTAGCCCCCCGTTGTTCCTGCTGCTGTAGGCGGTCGTCCACCCGAATGGCGAGAGCGATAAGCCCATCCAGGGTCGTGGGAAGTTCCAGCATGAAAATCTCCTTCTGGATGCGGTCTGCCAACCCATGCAGGAACATATCCCACTGCGCCTCCTCTTCCAATTGCACTCAGCCGCCAGGGTGCGGAATTCTATGGAGTATTCCAAGACAGAGATCGCCTTGACGTAAGTCGGCCAGCCTCCGAGCCGCTTCGCGTCCCATCACAGCACGATCAAACACACTCTTCATTTCCTCGGCGAGCTCTTGGAACGAGGAACAGCACGGCTGTTCTCCCACACCGCTCTCCCCCACAAAGCCACCTTCCCAGACAGCAGCATCAACACCAGAGCCACCTTAGACCGCTAGAAAAAGTGAAAAAAACAACAAGCACCTGGTGAGAAAGGCTCGGCAGAGATGCGGCTCACCAGAGTATGAGGCGGGAGGTGGTAGGCGTGGCTCGGGTTGAGTTGTGAGCGGCGACTGGGGGGGGGTAAGTGCTGGGGAGCTGGCGGAGCGGGTGATGTTGCCGGCTCGGTTCTCAGAAGTTGAACCTGGGCAGTGAGCTCGGACACCTGCGCTACCAAGGCTTGCACCGCACAACCCATAGCGACCATCTGCTCCTCTTGTCTGTCAAGACGCGCAGCCGTGTCCGACAGGAACCTGCTGACGACTGCGGCACTTGCTGAGTCCATAGTGGTCAGTTCGTTCTGTCAGGGAATGCAAGGCGGATTCAAGTGCGAGTAGAATATTCTTTAATAAACTGACGAGAGAGCTACAGACAGAGTACAGTGGGTGAAAAACGTGGGTGAGGTGGTGGCAGGTGTCCTTGGTAGCACTCGGCTGCAACGGGGAATAAACAGTCCTATGATCCAGGCGAAACAACAGTAATCCACAGGAGTGCCGGGTACCAGGATCCAGAGCAACCGCGGAAACTGCACAGAGCACAGACACGAAAACACAACAAACTGACAAACACAGGACAAACACTGAGGCTTAAATAGAGCAGTAAATGAGTGGCAGCTGAAACTAATGAACTAATCAATGGTAGTACACAACACGGCCAGAAGAGGCCGGTGAACCCATGAACCGTGACACACATTCATTATGAGCTCAAAGTGAGGGTGAACTTGCATTTCTTGTCACACCTAGTCAAAAAGTCAGGAGGTGTGTTTGAAAGGATGCATCTCATTTCCACATCCAGTTTTGAAAGGTACATAAGAAATAAAACATTACAAGGAATGTTTTAATAGGAAGATAATCCACACTTGGGTGATGTGCCCCAAAGCAACACAAAAAGGCCTGGTTTATACTTGCTATACAACTTCACGTGCACTTGGAGAAGCAGCATTGTTGAATCACTCTCCTGCTTATCTTATGTACAGCTGGAAGATAAAATATGACATTCGCTTGATGGCACGTCAAAGCCGAAACATCCCTGTCTTTCAGGTTTCTAAGTCGGACTGTTTAGCAATTTAATGCACAATGTTAAACATACTGAGGAGGTCTGTCTGTCTATAAAACTTTGTTGTGGCGATCGTTGTCGAGGTGCGTCTCAACTCTAAAACTCCGGCCTTACATTCAAAAGTATTTACTAATCTAGAAAATCCAGAAGACTGGTATGCAAAACAGACTTTTTTGCCTTAATGTTAGTATTCAGTAACAGTATAGAGCAGTACTAGAGTAACAATGTGTGTAGGTGGTTCACAATGTATCGTTACACCCCTAGCTATTACCATGTCAGCATAGCGAAAAGACTAAAATTGCATGTACACTTTTAATTTAAATGTGGCTTGTCTGAATGTGACTCCCAGTGACATTTCACACTAGTAGCACATAAAATCTGTCTTCATTGTTAGAGTGATACTTCTATTGTTAAACTGCAATATAAATGAATAAAACAAAAGAGGAGATTGTTTCTCTCACGTCCCCGTTTGTAAACCAGACTTTAGTTTGAGAATCCCTGGATTAAGGCAATAATATATACACACTGATAAAGTAATCAGGAACAATATACTAATACTGGGTAGGTTCTCCCTTTGGAGAACATTCCTTTGAGATTCTGGTCCAGGATGGCATGATTGCATGCAAATCCTGAAGATTTTTCAGATGCACTTTCATGCTGCAAATCTCCCGTTCGACTACATCCCAAAGGGGATCTGGATTCAGATGGATTTAGGGGCAGTCGTGGCCTAATGGTTAGAGTCTTGGACTTGTAAACTGAAGGTCGTGGGTTTGAGTCCGGCAGGGATTGTAGGTTGGGGGAGTAAATGACCAGTGCTCTCTTCCACCTTCAATACCACAACTGAGGTGAGACCCTTGAGCAAGGCACCGAACCCCCAACTGCTCCCCGGGTGCCGCGGCAAAAAAGGCTGCCCACTGCTCCGAGTGTGTGTGTGTGTGTGTGTGTGTGTGTGTGTGTGTGTGTGTGTGTGTGTGTGTGTGTGTGTGCGTGCGTGCGCACACTTGGATGGGTTAAATGCAGAGCACAAATTCCGAGTATGGGTCACCATACTTGGCTACACGTCACTTCACTTTCACTTTCAAAAGGATCCAGTGACAGATATGAATAAGATTACTTCCCTATGTTAATCAGTAAGCTTCTTTATTATGCTTTCATAATAAATTATTTATTACTAATAATAAATTAGTAATGTCAGTTGTTTGAAGGACAAGTAGTCATCTGTACATCACCCCACTTTAAGTAAATGTAGTTCATAATTTTATCCATACAACATTCTGTCCTCTCGATGAACAATGTCTTAAATTAAGATGCTGTCTCCTCCGATGTCCTCCATGTGCATGGGAGAGATTTTTTAAAAAAAAGTTACGTATTTAATAATGCCTTGAATGGCATTACATAGTTTTTTATTAAACTCAGGCAGGGGATAAAATGAGCTGAAAGAGCTGGAAATGTGTTCCAGCACCCTCAGTAACTTGAAGAGGCTAAAATTTCAGTTTTCTACTTGTGGCATGGTGGACAGCAGGAACTAATCTTGTGGTCAAGGTGTCAAAGAATCAATAAGGTCCAAATGGTCTGATCATGTTTCCTTTTAACAGACATTGTCCAATTCACTGTCACTGAGAGATGGCAATGTAAATGTTGATTGTCAAGGTTATTTTCATACTTGTTTATTTTGAACTTCTAAAACACTCATTTGAAACTGATTCAAAAAACAAAATGGCAAAACTGCCAACAGCATCAATTTACCTCCGGTAAATCTAGCCCTTTTTCTCTGTGCTCCAAGCTGTATGGACAATGCACAGTGCCCTCTACTTTCACTTTACCAGTAAAAGCAGAGATGCAGCAGGAACAGATCTGCGATTAGTCCCCAACTTTCCCACCCAGAAGTTTTGGGATCCAACTGGGAATTAAAGAAGTCTGTGAAGCCTGCTCTGACTTGGCTGCCTATGCTCTTCCATTGCTGCATGACAATGACTAAGCAGCTTGACGATACTTTGAAGAATGCATTCAGCTGGGCTGCAGTGATCAACAGCAGAAATGTGCAAGTTGGGGTAGTGCACCTTTCCCTGTTTCACCAATATTAATGATTGTTTCTGCAAAGTGAGCGGGAGAATCTGTGACCCAGTTGTTGGTCCCAAAAAGCTGCAGAGAAATGCAGGGGAATTTTCATCATGGCTCAATATAACCCCATGGCTGGGCACATTAAGGTAGACAAAATCCTACACTGGTTAACAGCCTGTTTCTAATAGCTATTATTAGACAATCATGCTGATGTACATTGGTGGTGTGCATCTTGCCACGAATGATACCTGGTTAATCCGCTGGCCATCCCACACTTTGTGCCATTTCCCATTATTGGGATCCCCTTTGAAAGAATTTGGCTGGTTTTCACAGGGATAACACTTCATATTACTCCTTGTGGATATATAACCTGCTATCCCAAAGCAAAAATCCCAAATTGGGATAAATGGTTGTACAACCTATTATTTGCAGCCTGGGAGGTGTCTCAGGCCTCCACAGTTTTTTCTCCATTTGAGTTATTATATGGGCAGAAGCGTCCCAGGGTATGTTAGACATGTTTTAAGGAAAACAGGAAGGATTATCCAACATGCAGTAAAATGTGGTCCAGTACATCCTAGACCTGCGAAGAAAGCTCCACACTCTGGGTGAATTATCATCAGAAAAATTGCTCCAGGTGCAGTAGCAGCAATAGACCCTCCCAACTAAGACTACTGTCACTGACAAAGTCCTCACATTGCTTCTCACCTCTAGCTTGAAATTACTCGCCAAGTTGCACTAAGGTTTGTATGGATAGGGGGAAGATGTGGTGGATTTACCACCTCAACCCCTTAAAAATCTGGAGAGAAGTGCTTCTTGTGGCTCTGGGGATGGCGGTGACAGAGAGAGCTGAGCTGGGACCTTTGTGTCCAAAAAAGCCAGAGATGGCCAATTTACAATGCAAACTTTCTGACATGTTTTCTCCCCTCCCCTGCAGTATAGATTACCTGAACACAACAAAAGTGGCTCAGGAGTAATTAGGGAAAATGACTTGAGATGGGAGTAACAGAGGACTTGAGTGACTGGAACAGTCCCACTGTGGTTGTGCCCAAGGCAGAAGGGACAGCCTGTTTTTGTGTAGACTTTTAGGATTTTGGTTTGTTTCCACCTATGCTTATCTTGTCTTTGTTTTTTCCTTTAAAATCTCCTTATTTAACCTTGACCCTGATCCTAACATACAGAACATAAATTATTAAAACTATTAAACTTAACTATTTACATAAAAAGACATGAAAAAATAAAATCAAAACCATTCCAAGGTATGCCTTTGATTGTGGGTTGGATGCATGACAATAAATAAAAAAAACTCCACAAATATAGAAATCAGCAACTAATAGAACTCTATCATAATTAAACACCACAGATGTAGAAAATCTGAAAACTGCCTAAGAAATTCACTATTAAGCTTGAAAGGGTGGAAACAGTAACACATAGAACTGATTTGTCATACAGAATCTTAAAAGTCAACTAGTCAAAAAAAAGTCAAAACTAGAAAAATACCCATAATTAACAGGGGAGCATTTTAAACAGTTCTTCTACACAACAGCAAGACCACTACTTTGGTTGTTTAGGGAATTAAATAGTTTGATAGACATAGTTCAACAAGCTGCCTACTTTCTTCAGGTCTAAGCCAAGTCTCGGTAAAAAAACAAAAGATGTATATTCTGGGAGGATATAAAATAAGAATAAAATTCTTAATAGATAAAAATATGACAATGTCAAAAGCAATGTTGAAGGGTGATAAAAGTCTTTCCTCCACTTTAGATTTACATGCAGCCTATGTGGAATAAAGTGATCCAGCTTCAAGATGGCTGCTGCTACGGTTTTAGCTCTGATGTTCTGTTGTTCATTTTTAAAATAGAAAACAGTGTCTCATATAGTGTCAGAAACTACATATTTATATACTGATCAATTCAACATAGCCATTTGAAACAAGTGTGTTAGCACCATTCTAAAATATCATCTATAAACTTCCCTCATTCGTTAGCCTTGTATCTCAAGTGCAGAAGTAAACTTCATACACTACACATCATCAGATTACCCATTACATGTGGAATAAGGAGAAAATGTAAATTTAATTTAAGGCCAAAGAGCTCCTTTGGTGAGATATTATCCACAGACTGAGAGAATGCAAATTAATACCTACACACATCTCACAATGATCTTTCACAACAGAAGGTAGAATAAAATTTTAACATTTAGGCACTGTAATTGTTTCCAGATGGTAGCCAGAGAGGTTTAAATAAATATAAAGCATCCAATCGGACAAAGTTGCACTGTGTATTTAGCTTGTACAAATCTCCTACCTTTCCACACAGGTAGACAATGTTAGTGTCCGGGTCATAGAAGGGAAGTAGCACTCCATTGCTGGTGTCCATCTCATGTACTGAGATTGGCTCATCCATGTTTTTCTGCAAATTAAATTCCATGTTAAATGTCTAGGCATGTGATATGTCAAACATATATAATGAGACCTAAAGTACACAATGGCTCTTATTCAGCTGCATACAAACAAGGGCAGATTCAAACTCTCATAATGAACAAATCTATGTCTGATTCAAGAAATATTTCTCTTATGACATCAAAACAAATGGTGATTTAAATACAATTAATGAAACAGCTCTTGGTGAGTGGAAACAAGCTCCCGCCTACTAGTGGCTTTTTTACATATGCAAACCACAATCCCCAAGTTACCCTCATATACATATAATTGACATAAAAAACACACTTATTTATGCAGGTATTGCGATAGTAAGCCAATAAAGAAAAAGCAGCCTACAGTTATACAATATCCACATACAAAATAAACAGATTTATTTATTTTTTTTAAAGTGTTCCTTTAGAAAGCATCAATAAATCACAGATGGTGGGCATAAAATGAAAATTTGAGATCAAATAAAATCAATCTATAAATTAACAGTTTCTATGAAGAAAAGGATGGTCCAATTAGTTTGTCTTTTGCAATGCTCTGTTTTTACTGGTTATTAATTGTATCATTTTTGCATATATAGATGGTCAAGGAAGTGTTCCTTGTTTTTATCTAAAATAAATTTAACCTCTTTCCAACTTTACATGCAGGCATTTGTGTGAACTAGCTAGATTTTTTTTCATTTTAGGTCAGATTCAACTGAAGTCAGATTAATTTGAGGGCAGTCCTGCAGTGCATCAGCCGGACACCTTCTGGTCTTCCAGTTGCTGCAGCTCCCCGAGGTCGGCCGGCCCTTCGCCTACGCATAGCAGCTGAAGGACTCTGATCACCGGTGGTTGATGGCGGAGGACGTACAACAGCTCATTGAGTTGGTTGTATTGGAGCAATTCTTTGCTCAACTCCTAACAGGAACGGCAGAGTAGGTCCTGTGCAAACGGTCTGCGTCCCTGCACGAAGCTGTGCAGCTGGCAGAGAATCACTTGGTGGCGGTCCCTGGTCAAGATGTCCCTGGTGTTTCTTGCTCTCTCTCTCTTCTCTCCCCTCTAATCCCTGGGTCCAGCTCCCTGGAACCGAGGTGCTGGAGCCACGAAACCAACACCCCAGACCCGGTTTCCACCTCGCTTTTCCTCCCCTGCCTCCTGTTTCTCTCTCTCCACAGGGGGACATTCCCAGGCAGGTGTTTTGGCACTGCAGGAAGTCGGGCATTTCCAGGATCAGTGTCCCTGCATGGAGGTGTGAACTCCAGATCCCTCAGGCCTCCTCCGATCGAGCAGGAATATACCACATACTGGTGAGTATACAAGG